CTCCGGAGTGTTGGGATTAAGGCATGTACCACCACACTTGGCTGTTTCTTTTCATACTTTTTTTTTTCTTTTTTCATACTTTTTTTTTCTTTTTTATGTATTTGGTACAGAGTCTCACTACGCAGCTCGAACCCTGTTTTCATCTTCCCCAGCACTGGGATTATAGGCATGCGCCACTATGCCCATACTTGTGCGCCAGCTGAGCATGCGCTGGGGGTGGGACTGGGGATTAAACCCTGGTCCCTGCACTTGGCAAAGCAGGCACTTAGTCTTCTGAGCTATCTTGCTGACTCTTTTTATTCTTAAAATAGACTCCACAGTCTTTAGCAAAGCTCTACGTGGTTTGGCTCTTGACTAGCTTTATCTTGTACCATTTTTTCCTTTGATTTGGCCACATTGGCTTCCTTTATGTTTCTTGAAAATACTGTAGCCTTCCTCAGGGCTTTTCGTCTTATACCAGAAATGCTTTTCTCATGATTTTCAACCTGGCTGACTTCTATGTCTTCCAGTCCATAGGCCAAACATGAGGAGGAGGAGAGAGAAGTGGTACAAAGAATCTTACTGCCAAATAGAAATAGGTTAAGGCAAGAGAAATAGAAGATAAAAGCAAAGGAGGAAGAAAAAGAGACAATTTATAGAGTGAAATCATCAGAGAAATTATTAAATGGATAAACATTAAAAAGTGAGAAGAGAATTTGGACTGAGCTGCGTGTGAGGAGCTAGGAGGTGTATGTCACAAGACAGTTGTCCTCTATGGTTTTTGATTGCACCTGCAGAAGGGGCATTTGTGGCCACTGTAACTGAGTCTATGCCTACAGCTAGGGCGAGCTGTATGAAGTCCTAGTTGGAGCAGCAGCTGGTGAAGAGAATGACCTGGCTGCCAAAGCAGTGGAGGCGGTGGGGGAAATACTTTCTGAACATGAAGACAGCTGTGGTGGAGAATGTGGACTTTCTACTTTTGTTAAAGACAACTGAGGAATTCTATAGTGAGGTATAGAAGTGAAGATGGGGAAAATTGGGAAATCCTGTGTCCAGTTCTAGATTGAGCTTTTGTATGACAATGGAATTTGGTAGTGTGCCAAGGTCCTTGATAGGGAAGTGCACACAGCTTCCACACAAAAGCTTCACATTTCAAAAATAGTTTTGTTTGAGTGGGTACATCTTAAAAATTGTGTAGTATCATTAAATAAAGTGGGAAGAAGAAAAATAAGGAAAAAATAGTAATAAAGGAGATAAGCAAGGTAGAAGGATAATGTAAGATTTCTAAAACCCTAAGATACTAGTGAAAAGGAAAGAAAGAAGAAGAAAAAAATAAACTGAACTAAACTGGAAACACTGCACACACACCCCCCCCCACACACACACTCAAAAAGTAAAAAGCCTGGCTAAGCATGGTGGCATATGCCTGAAAGGCCAGCACTCGGGAGGCTGAGGAAAGAGGATTGCTTTAAGTTCAAGGCCAGTCTGGGTTATATAGTGAGTTGAGGACCAGCCTGAACTACGTAATGGCTCCGGTCTCAAAACAAACAATGAAAAAGAAACAAAAATGAAAGAATAAAGTGGGAGGGGGCTAAGTTTCTCTGTGATTTAAAACGTATGATTTTCTTATGAAATCTGCAGTTTTAAGGCCATGTCCAATTCAAGAGATGTCCCAGCTCAAACTGGTAGATAAGGCAGTCAGATCACCTATTCATGCTTGATGCATTCTGGATACCGATTCTGTGACTTTCCAATCCAGTGTGATTTCAAGCTGAGCCTAACCTGTGGTTGTGTGAGTGGGACCTTTGCCTTTAGTGTAAACCTTCTCTGGGAGGGATATCTTCTAAGTGAGCACAGCTCAATGTCCACGGCTGCCTCCCTTGACTAGCCCTCACCTAGGCACTATGGGAGTGACATTGGGAACCCAGAAATGAAACAAATGCACTGCTGCTTAGAGTCCTGGGTTGTGTCGAGCCCTCCCTGGAATGGTGTCCAACCACTCTTTCCAGGGCATGTGGCAGCTGCTGCATGGACTGCAGTCACTCACCAGCTTTTAAAGCAGATAGTATCAGCCATCCAGTCCACTGCTGTGTTCTTCCTGAAGGCCTCTGGAGTCCCCTGCTTTCACTTTTTCTCTGTTGCTTTGGTCTTCCTTTCTTGCAAGCCAGGAGCCAGGGAAAAAGTGCAGATTGTCCCTTCCTTTTTCCATGGTGTCTTCTGTTTCTTCAGTTTCTCTATAGGTTTCTATTTTCCCATCAGATCTTTTCTGGCTCTTGGGGATCTGTTTCCCTCCTCCTTTTCTTCACCAGGTTGTTACTTACCTGTGTCTGGGATCTCATCTTGGAGAGGTTTAATTATTTGCCACTCTGTCATCTTTCCAGAAGTTGTATATTTTATAATTTTTGAAATGTAGGACCTGGGTGATAGCTCAGTAGAATAAGTGCTTGCCTGTTAAGAGTAGGATCCTGAGTTCAATCCCTGGTACCATTAAAAAAAAAACAACTTTGGGGCCCGGGAGATGGCTCAGTAGAATAAGCAATTGCCTGGCAAACGCAAGTAGCTGAGTTCAACCCCTGGGGCCACCAAAAAAAAAAAAAGTAGCAGGCTTGGTTTTACATGTAATTCTAGCTCTTAGGAGACTAAATCAAGAGGGTTCTTATGAGTTTGAAGCCAGCTTGGGCAGCATAGTGAGTTCAAATCCTGCCTATGCTACATAGGGATATACCCCTTAAAGCTATCCCCCTAAAACCTGTCCCCACCATAAAACCTCCGAAAAGGGGCTGGGGAGATGGCTCAGTGGAATAAGCGCTTCCCTGGCAAGTGCAAGGGCCTGAGTTCAATCCCTGGTTCCACAAAAACAAAACAAAACAAACAAAAAACCTCCAATAATGTATAACCATAAAATGCAGATTTATGGACGCATGTGTGTAAATGTCACACTATCTCTGGTGTGAGAAGCTGAAAGTGTAAATAAGAACTAAAATGTATAATAGGACCTGTGAAATACAAAGGACTTGTTTAAAAGGAGTGGGGAAGGGAAAAGAAAGAAGAAACAAGGGGTAAAATGCAAACAGCTTTGTAAGTAAGGCAGAAAAGCATTGAAGGGAAGGGAGGGGAATTGGGTAAAAAGAGGAATCAAGATGTAGTCAAGATATGTCATGATGCCACAGGTACAGTTTCCCAATGATGAATGTGATCATTATGTATTTAATTGTACCAATAAACTTAATTTCTTAAAAATTGCATAACCAGTTGAAAAAAAAATGCAGATTTACTCCCATCCTTAAAATATTTGGTATCGCGCCGGTTGCTGCTGTGCGATCCCTCGGGATAAATGTTCGTTTAAAAAGGAAGGGGGTGGTGAATGAAGGCAGGAGACAGGAAAAAGGGTGTTGTGGGACTGTCCTGCTACAATGCTGTATATGGTTAGATTTCTAAAAATATATTTTAAATTTTTAATTTTTTTCATATTCTGTAGGGACTTAAAGTTTAACATATCAATACATGATGAAACATACCTGTTCCATGTCATGTCTAAGATGTTTGATACTTAGACAGATAGTGAGGTTAAGCTCAACAGCCTAGGTTGTAGGGTAATAACAATAAGCTTGTCTTCTAGAGGGTTAACAACCTAAGTTTGCAGACCAAAAATTAGAAAAAAAGAAGGGCTGCAAGGACAGTCAACATTTTGGCCCTAGCCTTTCAAGGTCAGTGAAGACTCAGGACATAGGAGAACATGTACTATAGCATCATGTAACTCAGTTGTGTTCCAGATTTTCTGATCAAGGAGATTATGGGACCACAGAGGAAAGTGATCAGTGATGTAAAGTGTGTCTAAGGAGAGTCACATGGAGAGAAAACATTCTCCCAGGCTTTCACAGAGAGCAAATTGGTCAAACAATGGCCGTGACTCATCCACATGGTTGACACTCACAAAAGACTTACAAACTGCTGTGCATGGTTTCAGGATAAGTCTGGTGGGGATTTGACTGACTTTATCAGATACAAAAGCTACATTTCTTGTTATATAGGTCTTGCTTTATCTTGGTCTTAACCGTCCAGCAGAAAAGTATAAAAACGAAGTGTAAATAGTAAAGCCATATTAATATGCTGATCTGTAAAAGGCTCAAGTCAGCAACTTCTGACATTGCCAGTCTTATGGAAAACCCAATACTATTATGGACTACAAGAAACTGTCCTAATAGGATTTGAATCTGTCTCATTGCTATTTGTTTCTCAATTAAAATTATGGAAAAAATATTTGATATCATATAAAAATGTATAGTTATACAATGATTAATTACAAAAGGAATCTTTCTGTAACACACCTATTCTTTATTTTAAAAATTAATCAGGGGCTGGTGAGATAGCTCAGTGGTCTAAAGCACCTACTTAGAACAACCTTAGCAAAGCACAGGGACCACGGTTCAATCCCCCAGCACTACATGCCAGCCAGCCCCGCCTGCTGGTGGGCTGAACTGGCCACACACACACACACACACACACACACACACACACAAACACACACACATAAATAAAAAAAGTTAATCAGCTCGGTTTAGTGGTGCATATCTATAGTCCCAGAACTCAAGGGGCTGAGACAGAAGGATCATTGAGAGTTTGAGGCCAGCCTGGGATACATAGTGAGTCCAGGCCCACCTGAACTGCATAGTGAGACCCTAACTCAGAAAAAAAAAAAAAAGAAATTGTAAAAACTTACTGGGCTTATAATTTCTCAGTAATAATCTCAACTGCATGAAGTGATAATGGCTTTATTATGTTTTAAAGTGTAACAGAGGATGCTGAGTTCTAAGAGAGTTCTTTAAGTAATTACTTTTTTACTAGTGCTTTGAATTTTTTATTAGCTTACTCAGAAAACATGCTTTAATTTGTCACTGTCTATGTAGATATTATATGGAAGACATTTCTAAGTACTGTAATGTTATTTTACATATTTCTCTAATATATTTAGTAATGTCTGTTAACCTATCCCTCTTTCCTTTTTGTGACTTGCTTTTTAGGATCATCATGCTTAAACTTCATAACATACAAAAGTCTCTTTCACCTCAAACTTCTTGTTCAACAAGTGAATCTGATAAACATCTAGATTACTTACCTGAGAAACTAAGAGCAAAGCTACTTCCGTTCCAGAAAGAGGGTATCATTTTTGCTCTCAGAAGAGATGGCAGGTAACATACCTTGTTAAGTCATGCTAAAAATGCTAAATTCCTTGCAAGGATATTTAAGAACAAACTTTCTTTTTGTGTGCCTATAGTCTGTCATTAGTAGAATTTGCTGTGGTTAAAATTAACTTTAGATATTTATTATGATTAACTCAATTTCAGAAAACATATTTCATTTTCAGATGGAAATATGTTGAGCAACTTTAAATTCGTAAAGTGTGTTTGGTTACCATAAGTATTCAAGTTAGTAGGTAATGTCAGCATCTCATATATTGACAGTTTTCAAGACGGTCTTATTCATATATAATTGATCTTGTACAATTTTTACTTAGGCCATTCATTTAATTTTCTACCTTAGATTAAATAACCTTTGAACATATCTTGAGCCTTATACTACTGCTTATATTTCTTTACTTCATAATTGTAATAAATGGTCTCTTCTATCAAATCAAGCATGATAGTTTTCTAAATTCTTAAAGATTTTATTCTCTTGGTTCCACAGGAATATATATCATGTATTTTCTTCCCAGTAATTTTTGTTTGATTGTCTGTATTTTCAAATAGGGTCTTACTGTGTAGTCAGTCTATCCTTGAAATCACTGTGTAGCCAAGGCTGGCCTCAGAGTTGCAGTGATCCTCCTGCCTCAGCTTCCTGAGTGTTGATATTACAGGCATGTGCTACCATTCCTAGCCCCAGTATTTTATAATGAAAAAATTAAACATAGAACAACACGGAAAGCATGTTAGAGCCAAGCAGGGTGGCATACGCTGGTAAATCTGGCACTTTGGGAAGCTAAGGCAGGAGGATGGCAAATACTTGGTTAAATATACATGCATGTCTGACGTGTATCTGCCAAAGATGAAAACTTAGTGGATCATGAAATATGCATATTTTCCAGTGTAGCAGATATTGCCTTATATTTATTTGCTGTGCTGGCCTCAAACTCCCAGTGATCTCTTGCTTTAGCCTCTTAAGTGGTGGAATTATAGGTGGGTACGAACATGCCTTTTTTTTTTTTTCTTTGGTATTTTTGACTAGGAATATTTTAAAAATGTACCCTAGGTAGGTTGTTTAAAGAACAGAAACCTATCGTCTCAGTTATGGAGGTTCAAAATCAAGCTGTAGACAGAGCCAGTTTCTTTTGAGGGCTCTGAAGGAAGGATCAAACTGTAATGGGTCAATTCACATTTTAGAGTATAAATGTAAATCTTGTGTTTTCTGTTGTGTAAAAATATATACTCACCAGTGTTCTAAGTTGTTTAGTAACTAGTGGCTGTTTCTTGCTGTTTGCTAGATAAAATTCCTGTAACCCTCACCAATTCCTGTTAACAAAGTTAGCTTACAAAGATGACTTCAAAAGGAAATTAAATGGACTTTAACTTCTTGTAACCTCAGGCTATGCAAGGCTGCCTGCAGGTACTTAGGTGCAAGATAACTAGAAACTAAAAGCCCCAAGAAATTTAGTTTGAGCGGTGGTGGTCCAGTGACCCTGAAAGCATTATTGTGTGTCAGACAATGAATTGTTTACAAATTTGGAATGTGGCTCCAGGTTTTAAAACCACATCTGCTTCCTGGGCTAGCCTTCAGAGGGGACCCTGAGCTCAGTAATAAAAAGGCTTTCCAACTTCCAGTCTGGCTGATCTGGTTCCTATTCTGAGCGACCCATAACACAGCGTTGGTCCCTGTGCTAGCCAAAGCAGGCACTTAGTCTGCTGAGCTATCTCACTGGCCCAAGATATGGGACAAAATCTTTTTTTTTTTTTTTGGACAAATTCTAATGACTTTATCTTATCTAATTAGATCTGTAGGCATCCTATTTCTGTTTTCACCTTTTATTAGCATATGTTTGTGAGACATAAATACATTTATCATAGCGAATTGGTACATATACATATGCTTTTTTACTTTTAGTTTTTTTGTTTGTTTGTTTTTTGCCTTTTTGACATGGGATCTTGCCATGCAATTCAGGCTGGCCTTGAACTCACTTGGTAACTCAGGCTGGTCTCAAACTCACAGTGAGCCTCCTGCTACAATATCGCAAATACTGGGATTACAGGTGTGTGCCATCATGCCCGGAGCACATATAATATCTTAATACTTATTACTTTTCCTTTCTCTATGTTCCATTTCTCCTCATCCTCAAATCCCATTTCCATTTCCACATAGCTTATCTTCCTAGTTCCTATCTTTCATTTTGCTCTTGAAATTATCCTTTTTGTTTTTTGTAGAGGACAAACCATGCGATATTGAACCTATGTCTGATTTATTTCACTTAACATTATGGTCTCAAGCTGCATCCATTTTCCTACAAAGGACTCAAGTTTATTCTTTTTATTCCATGCTTTCTTTATCCATTGATCTATTTATGGACATATAAGCCAACTTAGCTATCATGAGTGATGCTTCTATAAACATGCGTGTGCATGTATCACCATAGCCGGGTGTCCTGAATGCTTAGGAAGATATATCGAAGAGGTGTATCAATCGAATGGAATTTTTGTTTTCAGTTTCTTGAGGAATTTTTATTCTGATTTCCTTAGTGGGTGTACCAATTTACATTCACATTGGCAATATAGGATTCCTTTGCCCTACATTCTTGTTAGAGTTTGTTGTTTTTTGAGTTCTTGATGAAAGCCAGCATTTCAGGAATAAGATGGAATTTCAGCATTTTGATTTGCATTTCTCTAATGGCCAAAGATGCCGAACTTCTTAAAAATGTACTTCTTGACCATTTGTACTTATCTCTCTTTTTTTTTTTTTTTTTTGCACCAGGGATCGAACTCAGGATCTGGCACTTACCAAGCAGGTGCTTATGCCGCTGAGCTGTCTCCCTGGCCCCTGTAGTTACTCTTTCTAAGAAGTGACTACTCATTTCAATCTCCCATTTTTTATGGGATTTTTAGCTTTTTTGGGGGGGGTCTAATTTAAAAACATATATATACTAATATCTAATATATACATACTAATATCTGATATATTATAATAATATGTATATCATATTAGTTATAATATGTATATATTAGTTCCTTGTGTGAGAGGCAGCTAGAAAATTTTTTTCCAGTTCTATAGGCTATCTCTTCACTCTGCCAGTTGTTTCTTTTGTTGTACAGAAGCTTTCTGTTAATTCTCTTTTTTTTTTTTTTTTGGTCTCACTACACAGATCAGACTCATAGTGATCCTCCTGTTTTCAGCCTCTCAAGCTCTGGTATTACAGGCATGCACCACCACACCCAGTTTCAATCATGGTCCCAGTGTGCCCCGGGGGCGGAGCCAGCCCAGCAGGCCAGAGATCAAACCCTGGTCCCTGTGTCTGCCTAAGAAGGTGTTTTAATCTGCTATGTGGCCGGCCCTTTGTTTGTTAATTCTTGATGTTATTTCTTATGCAATTGGGGTTCTGTTCAAAAAGTCCTTACCTATGCCTGTGTCCTCAAGAGTTTTACCTGATTTGCCTTCCAGCAGATTTACTGTTTCTGTTTTTATATCTGGGTCTTTGGTCCATTTTTATTTCATTTTAGTGTAGAGTGAGATGCAGACCTAGATTCATTCTGCAGTTTTCCCAGAACCATGTGTTAAACAAGCTATCTTTTTTTAGCATATGTTTTTGTCCTCTTGTCCAAGACTATATCCTGTACATGCCTAAGGTTGTCTTTGCACCTTCTGTTCTGTTGATTTGTACTTCTGTTTTGCACCCATAATATGCTGTCTTGTCAGTCTAGCTTTACAGCATAATTTGAATTCCAAGATTCTGATCTTCCTGCCTTCCTCCTGTTGTCCAAGATTCCTTTTGTTATTTTTAGTCTCTTCTGATTTTTGATCCAATGTCACATTCTGAGTTTGTCAGGATTAGGCTTACATGTGTGGATTTGTTGGTCCTACAGTTTAACCTGTAACACTGCTAAATATTTTCCAAAGCGATTATGTCAATATGTACCTATATCAGTAATGTATAATTGTGCTGCTGTCATATGCTCATGGACATTTCATATTATCTGTCTTTATTTTCCTTTTAGATATTCTGTTAGATATGTAGTGATATACATTTAGGATTTGAGAAGGCTTTTTTTTTTGAGGGGGGGCGGCTGGCTCAGGCTGCCTTAAGGGCAGGTCTGGTAAGGCACATGGAGCTCGGGATCAAACCGCGGTACCTTGTGTCTGAGTTTGCCAGAGCAGGCACTTAAACAGCTGAGCTAACCTGCAAACCTCTACATTTAGGTTTTTTCTCATACTTCTCTGATGACAAAATTTAATGCTGTTGTATACTTATTTGCCATTTAGGGTTTTTTTCCCTCTTTTTTTAATTGGTATTTTTTATTAGTACATTTGTAATATATAATGATTATATTTATGTATATTACATGTTACCGATAACTAAATAAATACAGTTTACAGTATATATCCTATTCTAATCATTAAGTATTAGCTACATGTGGTTATACAATTCTTGGTATGTGGCTATTGCAGATAAAATCTTAATTTTAAATTATTATTATTGTTATTATTATTTTTGAGACAGCATGGTGTTGTTATATAGTTAGGGCTGGCCTGGAACTCACAGCAGTCCTCCTTTCTAGACATCCCAAGTGCTGGGATTACAGTTGTACACTACCATGCCAGGCCCTGAAATTTAAATTTTAGCTAATTTGAATTAATCTATATTTAAGCTTAAACAGTCACATTGTCTGTTTTCTATAACATATGACAGTGCAGTTAAAAGTTTTTTAAAAAAAGTTATAGGTTCTTTATTTTGTTTATCTGTTTGCTGTTTTGTGTCAGTATCAATTACTATATCTATGATAAATGTTTTTGTATCAGGTAGTATAAATTTTGCAGCTTTTTTGTCTTAAAATTATATTAGCTGTTATTAACTCTGCATTGCCATAAATTACAGAAATCTCTTATGAATTTTTATACAAAATTTTAAGATTGCCTAGAATTGTATTATATCAGTATATCAGTTTAGAGAGAGTTGGTTTCTTTTCCATATAGAGGAATTCATTTCATGAAC